CATGTAGCCTGGCGCGCAGACGCAGGCGCCCGTCACAGGGTGGCAGTCGGCGCCGTTGGCACAGCTGCACGGCTCGGAGCAAACGTCGCCGTAGAAACCGGGAGGACAGGTCTCATTACAGAACAGCCCTGTCCATCCAGACACACAGGTGCACTCTCCGGACAGCGGGTGGCAGCTGCGAGCGGGGCACACACACACACACACACACACACACACACACACACACACACACACACACACACACACACACACACACACACACACACACACACACAGACACACACCAAAACAAGCACCTTAGAGATCATTACAGACACACAGTTTCTCCTCCTCTTCCTCTCGTCTGTCCACTCTCAGATAAATCGTTTTCTCCTCCTCCTCTCTCTCTCTCTCTCTCTCTCTCTCTCTCTCTCTCTCTCTCTCTCTCTCTCTCTCTCTCTCTCTCTCTCTCTCTCCTCCTCTCCTCTTCCTCTCAGATAATTTGTTCTTCCTCCTCTCGCTGCAGCGGCCGGTGGAGTTCTGGTGGAGTTTCGTTGGAGTTCTGGTGGAATCAGAGCATTAACTCTGAACAGAGTCGCTCAGAAATTATGAATGAAGCCAAGGTCACGATTAAAAGACTCAAGACTACACGACTGTGAGGGGATGAGAGGAGGACAGGAGGAGTGAAGAGGAAGAGTCTCAACCTGAGGAGGACGAGAGGAGGAGTCTCACCTGAGGGAGCGGGTGCCTGTGGACCTGAAAGCGGGTGTCTCATCTGTTTGAGAATTTGGGCGGGTGTCTCACCTGAGTGATTCAGACGGGTGTCTCACCTGATTTGTCTAGCGCGGGTGAAGCGGGTGTCTCACCTGATGTCTCAACACTGAGGTTTAAAGGCGGGTGTCTCACATTTGTCTCACCTGATGTGTCTCACCTGAGCGGGTGTCTCAATCTTTCTCCTCTGAGTGAAGACCTGAACAGAGAAACTGATCTCACCTGAGTTTTCTCTGTTGTCTCACCTGAGTTGAATCAATAATGATGAGCGGGTGTCTCACCTGATCTCACCTGATCTCACCTGAACAGCGGGTGTCTCACCTGACGGTGTCTCACCTGAGCGTGGGCGGGTGTCTCACATGAAACCTGATGTCTCACCTGAGGGTGTCTCACCTGTCTCACCTGACGGGTGTCTCACCTGATCTCACCTGAGTGTCTCACCTGAGGTGTCTCACCTGATCACCTGAACCTGAACCTGTCTCACCTGAGCCGTGTCTCACCTGAGCGTGTCTCACCTGACTCACCTGAACCTTCTCACCTGAGCTGTGGGCGGTGTCTCACCTGAGCGGGTGTCTCACCTGACGGCGGGTGTCTCACCTGAGCGTGTGGGCGGGTGTCTCACCTGAGCGGGTGTCTCACCTGAGCGTGTGTGGTGCGGGTGGGTGTCTCACCTGAGCGTGTGTGTGGGCGGGTGTCTCACCTGAGCGTGGTGTCTCACCTGAGCGTGTGTGGGCGGGTGTCTCACCTGAGCGTGTGGGCGGGTGTCTCACCTGAGCGTGTGTGTGTGCGTGTGTGTGTCTCACCTGAGCGTGTGGGCGGGTGTCTCACCTGAGCGTGTGTTCGGGCGGGTGTCTCACCTGAGCGTGTGGGCGGGTGTCTCACCTGAGCGGGCGGGTGTCTCACCTGAGCGTGTGGGCGCTGTCGCAGGGACAGTACTTGTCACAGATGAGTCCGTACAATCCGCTCGGGCAGAATCGTTCTTGACAGTTTGGTCCTTTGAAGCCCGTCTCGCACATACACGCGCCCGTCACGTGGTGGCACTTGGCTCCGTTCTCACACTGACACCTTTGGGTGCACTGGGGGCCGTAGGTGCCCACGGGGCAGTCCTCCTGGCACCTGCGCGGGCACACGGGTGACAGGTGCGACATCAGGCACATTGTTAAAACTGGAGAGAGATTTTTAGTAACGGCCGAAGTGACCGCCCACGAAACGTCCAACAGACCGACGCCAGAGTGTGTGTGTGTGTGTGTGTGTGTGTGTGTGTGTGTGTGTGTGTGTGTCCTCCCTGTGCCGGCTCACACACACTTAGGTCAAAGGAAACACAGTAAAATGTCTCTGGTGCCAAAGAACAACTGAAGAAAACGACAAGATTCCAGTGTCCATGTTCTGATGTTCTAATGTTCTGATGTTCTGATGTTCTAATGTTCTGATGTTCTGATGTTCTGATGTTCTGATGTTCTGATGTTCTGATGTTCTGATGTTCTGATGTTCTACTGTCCCCGTCACACACTGCAGGTGTGTTTTGTGTTTTGTTTCATTCACATGTTTCACACACAAACCTGCACATTTAACACGAGCTCTTCTCTCTAAAACACTCTGTTCCACCTTGTGATGTCATCATGTGGTGATACAGGAAGTGCTCCACTGTGTTTTTAAACAGATTAATAAGAAAGAGTCACTCAAACATGTGAATGAAACAAACAAAACTCCAGCTCTGAGTGTGACCAGGAACATAAGAACATTAGAACATTAGAACATTAGAACATCAGAACACAGATGTGGACGGTTCAGTTCAGGTGTTTCTGTCTCTGAGTTCAGGAGGTTCACTTCTTGTCGTCCACATAAAGAATCACTAAAACAAACCTGAATTAAACTAAAGATTTTTTGGCTCCGTCTGCACTCGGCCAAATGCACCTCTCCCTCCATCTCTCCCTCCATCCCTCCCTCCATCCCTCCCTCCATCCCTCTCTCTGTTCTTCTGTTATTGTTCTTCTGTTATTGTTCTTCTGTTATCTGTTCTTCTGTTCTTCTGTTCTTCCGTTCACTCTGGTCGGATGTTCCAGACTGAAGTTCTTCTCCAGGGCAAAACCAAACGATTATAAATAGTCCAATCATAGGATCCAATGGCCGCTGTGTGTTTTGTGTTTAAATGAGCGTTTTCAGCTCGATCTGTTCTCTGAGCCTGAGCTCCGACAGGTGAGGCCCTGCGCAGGCTCCGGGCCCCTGGCTGCTTAATTCACCTGCCACTGACAAAATGAATGAGGCCAATTTCGCAAAATAATAAAGTAAAGACGAGGTCTTTAGGAGGAAGTCTTTTCATCCTGGACACGATAGTTTTAGTAGAACTAATAAAGAGGAGAGCTGGGGGCCCCTGGAGCCGCCCGGGCCCCGACGAGACGCTGATACAAACCCATTACTGATAATTAATGAGCACAATCCAAACACCAATCAATGGACAGGCAGAGAGCAGACCCCACAGCCACGGCCCCCCCACATCCATTACACATAAACATCCCATTACACTGCACCTGCCCCGACGCACACACACTAATGACCGTTTGCTCCTGTCGCTCCTGCCGCTCCTCTGGGGGCGGAGCTTCTTTCTCTCGTTTTGAAGCTTCTATGTTCTTCTCATGTTAAAGGGACAGTTTGGGTTTTTTGACATAAATCTGTGTGTCGTCCCCGTGATCAGTGTCACATCCACACTGACTCACCCCGACAGCGTCCGGTGAGTCCAGATACTGACCGTTTTCGGTGCTGATGAAAGTCGTGTGGCAAGTTGTTCTGGGGACTGTATAATAAAGTGTTTTTCTTCACAAAACAATCTGTGTTCAAAAGAGTGAAACATTTACATCACAAAACCATCGTCCTCAAAAAAGTCAGACCTCATAATCACTTGGCTCTATTTTCTCTCCGTTCGTATCACTGCGCCAGGTGACAGCCGCGCATGAATCCATCACCTTGTTCAGTTGTTTGTCAGTGTTTACATGCACAGACACCACGACGTGAGAACTAGAGCCATAAGTATATAAACTTGTATAAGATACATATGAATATATCTAAAAAATGGTGTGACTCTTGATTCTCCAGGCTGGAACAACAAAAGTCTGTCTGAATCTCCACACACGTCACCGTTTTCCTGTCACGGACTTTGTGCTGAGGAAACTTTGGCTTCTTTCCTTTTGGCTTCAATGTGGAAACTAAACCAGGTAAGAACGAAGAAGTGTCGCTGTGTTTACAAGAGAACAGACTCAAGAATCAGCTGTAACTCTGTGTGCAGTAAATCACTCAGTGTCACATCACCAGTGAAACTTCTACAAAACGTAACTTTATAAGTCGACTGTTATTATTATTGTAAATGTCTCTTACACTATTGGCAGCAGCGACGTGGACGTGTGGATGATTCATGTTTCTATTAGTCGTTCATGCTTCAGTCACAGTGGAGGCTCTATGTTCACTGTGTACGAGTTTATAAATGACGTGATGGTGATTGTCTCTCGGTCTCTCACGGCTCCAGCTTCAACTTGTCCCACTTCTTTGTCTCTTTTCTTTCTCTGTCTGTTCTTACTCCATCTGGTGAAATTCGGCGTCAGTATATTCAGGTTCATAAAGATCTCCCCTTGACTTTGTGGTAAAGGCAAAGTCTTTATCATCGGTGTCGTAATCAGACATGTTGTCGTTAACATTCCGAGCAGTAAACACAGTGAACCAGGCGCGGCTGTCACCTGAACACAGTTGTTTTGAGAAGAAAAACACTTTATTATACAGTCCCCAGACAAGTTGCCGGACGACTTTCATCAACACCGAAAACGGTCAGTATCTCAGTTCACTGGACGCTGTCGGGGTGAGTCAGTGTGGATGTGACACTGATCACCGGGACGACACACAGATTTATGTCAAAAAACCCAAACTGTCCCTTTAAAGCTCAAACCTTCTGCTCTGATCTTAAACACGACGCAAACACGAGCGCAAATGTGGAACGACTCTTTTCCTTCTTGAGACGCGACTCGCTGCAGACGGAGGCTCCTGGGCCCCCGGGCCCCTGGACTCTGTCACCACGTCTGTTCTGTTTCACTTTGAGAAATTGAAACAGAACAACTGAAAAATAAAAACAGATCTGGGGCGATAAATAAAAGCCTAATCTAATGTTGACCGGAGTAAAGTGACCGGAGCCTCACAGGAGCCGATAATGAAGCACATCCATTATTTATGAACCTTCAAACCCTGAGATGCCGAGGTTTAGTGGAGCTTTACTCGCTGAAAATCAGGTTCAAAGTCAAAAATAATCTGTAGTCTAAATCATTACAGAATATGTTTAAAGTGTGAAATGATCTGAGAGCGACGGCGGCGTTTACAGGAGAAAATCAGAGAGAATCTTCTAACGTGAGTAAATGTGTTAGAGGAGGAGCTCTGCAGCAGAAACGATCCACCTCTGGTCCACTCTGAAAACACTCGAAATGTGTAAGTGTGGGCAGATGTTCTCACACTGAGCCGGAGCTGTGGGGCTTTGCTTCGCTGCACTTTTACTGTGAACAGCAAATGAAGCTCTGACGAATAAAGAGCCGTAAGATCCTAAAGGGCCGATGTTACACCACAGTCTCTATAAACTCTGTTTCTCTCAAACTGAAGAGTCGTACAGAAACACGGAGAAGAACAGACCCACTGTCTCCACAAACAAACCACCACTATTCAACATAACACAGGCTTTTCTTTAAACATCACCTTTTATTTTGATACGATCATAAACGATAAACGATTTTGTGCTTCTTGATCATTATTATAAGTTTGTACGACCATAAACAAAAACAAAAAATTCTGACTTTCATTCTCGTTGGGTTTTATTTTGTTTGATCAAAAACGATAAACTTTTGTGCTTTTTTTAACATTATTATTAGTTTGTTTGACCACAAATAGGAAAATAAACTGGCAAAAATGAAGATAAGTAATAAAAAAGTGTTTATGTTTGTGTTGAAGGTGAGTTTGAGGAACAACCTGAGCGATGATTTTAAAAAGTCTAATTGTCATGGTTCATGTTTTGTAGTCAGTTTTTTTTTTGCTTATTTTGCTGCATCTTTTTCCTGTAGTGTTGTGTGCCTTTGATGTTTTATTTTGACATGTTTATTTTGTCGTGTCAGATTCTAGTTTTGAGTTTTACTTCGTGTCTGTTGATTGTTTGCCCCGCCCTGATGTGTCTGCCCTTCGTTGGTCCATTGTCGTTGTCAGTATCATGTCCGTTGGAGTTTCTACTGTTTTTTGGTTTTGTTACATTAAACCACTGAAGTGCAGACCTGTGTTTTGGGTCCTCTCCTGTTTCTTCGTGACACTAAGGTCATGTTTACACTGAAACAAATCACCGCATCGGAAACGATTTGCATCTAGATGCGTCGTTTCTGTTTCCACGAGCCTTCTCTATAGGCGAGTTTGAGCTGAAGTCATTGTTATTAAAAGTCCGCGTTGCTGCTGGGAAATATTTTGGTTCGGAGGCAAGAAACACAGTAGCGTCAAACACAGTGTGTAACCTCACGTATTTATCCCCAATAATGGTAAATTCCTGCTGCATTATCAGATGCACAAATAGAAACACGGAAGAAGGAAAATGTCTTTTTCGTATTCTGAGTGAAAAGAACCACTAACGGTGAATTAAACGACTTTCAAACATCCGCAGAGCAAACGTAGAAGATCCTAACAAACCGTGGACTCAACAAGTTCAACAACACATCCAGACTCTTGGAGGTTTTCATCTTTTCTGCTGTGAATGGCCCAGGAGTTTCACCAAGTCATTGTGGATGTCGCCCAAGTGAATATTTGTCCAGGTAGTTGGAGATTCTGACCAGAAGTTTGGTTTGGTCCAGACTCTGTCAGGGTTGAAAAGGGGGATTTGTCGTCCGTCGATGTTTATGAAAAATTTCTGGTCAAATGGTCTTGGGTCGTCTGCCGTTAGAGTGGATAAATAACCGGGATCAATAACCTTTACGTGTTTTCTCGCTCCGTCCGTCGTGTTGAATTAGTGTTTATTGTCGTCGACCAAAATAATTCCCAGCAGCAACGCTTTTGTCAACAATGAAATTCGCCTATTGACACGACTTTTGAGTGGGTGTTCTCTCTGTGACAGAGGGGTGTTTTCACACATTATACGTGTGCAGGTGGTGCACACAGACACACGTTTATGTGAATGGACACATGTTGTGTGTCTTAGTGTTTTGTGGTGAATGAGTCGGCGGTGACAGACACACATCAGAGTATCAGAGTTTTCAGGAGTCCCCGTCACATCTGGACCAACATGAACTCGTGGACCTGGAGGCACCAGATTGTTCCGTCTCTGGAGTCGTTTTCCATCGGATTAGTGTGAACGAACACTGCACCCATAACCACACCACTCACATACACACTAGTGTGAACGGGGCCTTACACTGTAGAAGCTTTAAGAGAATAAAGTGTTCTGTTTTAAAGATTTCGAGCTCTGGAATGAATGAATGAGGCTTTAAATATAGTTTGTTTTCATTGATATTTAGTCTCTTATATTTACAGTGAATCATGTGATGAACTCAAAGTTTCTGTTCAGACGCTGATTTTCTTTCTTGAATTCTGTCGTTGTTTTACAGAGTTTGTGTTTGAAGAACTTTGACTTCAGACTAAACTCTTTCACTCATGATCCATGAGGCTGGACTCTGTGTTTGTTCTGATTTGTTTTGTAGAGCTGAACAAATAAACTCCTACTACAAACAGAAAACACTCTGTTCCACCTTGTGATGTCATCATGTGGTGATACAGAAAATGCTCCACTGTGTTTTTAAACTCCACACACCTTCACTAGAATCATCTGGATCAGTTCAGTCGTCCAGTTCCCAATCTCGACTGAACTAAAGGGGAAAGGAGCTGCTTAAACTACCACTTCATGACATCACAAGGTGGAGCAGAGTGTTTGGAGTTTTGTAGATGTAACAGACTCATAATAAAGATTTAGTCAAACAAACACAACTCCAGCTCTGAGTGTGACCAGGAACATTAGAACATGATTTAAAAGTTCTAGGATCTTTATAGTGTGAGTCCTGAGTTTCTGAGTGCAGAAATGTTCCGTCCACTTGAATATTTAAAGTCAAACACTGAACCGGCGCCAAACGCTTTTGGAAAAGTCTGAAATAAAAATGTCTCCTTCAAAATAAACAAAGAGAATCTGTGAGTGCGGAGCTGAAACTCTCCGAGCTTTTGCACCGTGGCCTGTGTCGGTCGTGATGTGATGTGATGTGAGTGTGAGTGTGAGTGTGAGTGTGAGTGTGGTACCTGCGCCCGCTGAAGCCCGCCGCACACTGGCACTGCCCGCTCACGTGGTCACACACGCCGCCGTTTCTGCACGAACAGTCTTTACTGCAGTTGATGCCGTATTTACCCATGGGGCACGGCTGGGCACACACAGAACCCTGGACACACACAGGAGGGTAAGAGGGTAAGAGGAGGGGTAATAGGTGGGGCAGGAGACAGAGCAGAGGGAGAGTTATATGTGATGCTAACTTAAGGCATCTCTCTGTCTGAACCTCTGTTACTGAAGTCAGGCTTTAATCAGATTTTTACTGTAACACAATCTGGGTTTATTTCGGGGTTATTTCAACATGCTGCTATTTACACATTGACGTCTAATTGTCGGAGCAGCGGCGTAAACATTATTTTTCAAGCGTCCGACTACTTCAATTTTTTTTTTCCATTGTCGGAGCAGCGGCACTTTACTATTTTTCAAACATTCGGCTTTTCTGACATGAATAATAAAATAATAAAGTCTATGATGCTTCTGCTCCCATAGATCATAAAATGTTTGGGCCGATGTCAGGACTTGATCATAGAAAACTTCAGCCACAGAGGATCAGACAGTGACGGGAAACTGTCCAAACTGAGCCGCGGGAAACACGACTGTATTTAAAAAAAAGAGCATCAGCCTTCGCGAAATTATCTCATCTAAAACAGAGACTGCATGGTCCTTTGTGCTTCAGTCATTTGGTCGTGTATCTGCAGAGAACAACAAACAGCATGAATAAATAAGTTAGGGTGACCGTATTTCCGTTTGTGAAAACCCGGACATCTTACCGGGGGTTGGGGGGTGGAGCCTGGACATTGAGCTACTCTCACCTCGCAGCCTGTGCACATGGATCACACTGGTCTCGACCGGGACGGAAAACAGAGAATTTCATGTCCAAGTCATTGTTAAATGCACATTTGCTCTTCGGCGTGTTTCAGACTGACCGACTGTTTGTGTCTCGCTCCTTCTGAGTCACAGACGCTACGAGAGACGCTCAGTTTAATGTCCCAATGAAAATCATGAAAACCAGAACATTTACATCACTTTATGAAAAAAAAACTCCCGGACGTCCAGGACAGGACACAAAAAACAGATGTGTCCGGGGAAAAACGGACGTTTGGTCGCCCTAAAATAACCAGTCAAGTTAATTTCTCCAGCTCAATGAGACGACGCTCACAGCACAAAACTCACATGAGACGTGTCAGAATAAACACACTAAAAAGTGTGGGAAAACCAGCACGTCTAAATAGAGACATGTTGTAATGAAGGGACTTCCTGACATGAAGAAACTCCAACAGGTGCAGAACTGAGCTGTTAAACACGTCCCTCTGAACAACACTGCAATCACGAGTTAGCATTAACGTTAGCATTAGCGCTAGTATTAGCCACTTTCACCTTTTACTGTAAAAAATCAAACTCCTGAACAGGACCATAAACACTGACCACAGGCTCCTGACATCTCCATGTCTCCATAAAGATACACAAATTTAATCCCAAAGTGTGGAACATCCTGGACAAAGCTCCATGGAGACAAACAGGTGGGGGACGCGAACCAGAAAAGTTACACAGAGCATCTTTAATCAAAGCAAAAAAACAAAACAAAAAAACCCAAAAAAAACATCCACTTACAGAACTTTGTGTTCAAACTAAACTGAACTAAACCATCAGACTAAAACATTTCACAGAATTTAATCAACTGTAAAAGTTTCAAACTATTTTTCTTTAATTAATCTAAAGTGTCCAGACGTCCCTGTGTCCCCGTCCCCACAGATTTACACAAAACCACTGATTTGTCCCAATTTTATACAAGAAATGTTCCAGTGTCTCTATTTTTGTTTCCCTGCAACAGTAAAGAGAAACATAAACTGACATTTGTTTGGGTAAAATACAGAAAAGCTGCTTAAAAACGACAAAAGAAAATGTGACTAAAGTGACTCATGTCCGTCACGAATGAGCTGAGAACAGTTTTCCTTATTATCACCAACCTCCACAAACCAGAAACGCCCCAGTGTTTTATTTTGAAAATCTGGTCACACTAAATTAATCAGAAGGTCCATTTCCCGACACTCATAGGTGTATCTGCCGTGTCATCGTTGTAGCAGCTTTAGTTCGTTGTCACGTGGGAGGGAGGCAGAAATATGCTGCAAATTGTTTAAAAAAAACATCAAATCAATGTAAAAACCACTTCAGCGACAAATACAAGGCCCACACATCACTCTGAGGAGGCAAAAAGATCTGAAAAGTTGATTTTGCAGGAGATGGACACTTTAAACGTGTGTCTGCTGCAGGTGGAGCAGGTTCACGGTCGGTCCGTCAGAGCTTGTTCCAGGTGCGGTGAAGCTCTGCGCTCTAATGTGGTGCTTAAGTTTATCTGGTGTAAATGTTCTTGGTTCTGCCGAGCGTCTCTGCACTGCTGCATTATTATTATTATTATTATTATTACAGCAGTGACTCGTGAAGAGACTGAGGAGAACAGCAGAACACCTCCACTCTGCTCCTCTGAGGGGACTTCTGCCTGAACTTGAACTTCACTCGATAATTCTTGGTTCATATTTATAATTGAACAGAGGATATTGATCAGAGGTTCAGTGGGTCTGCAGGAAAAAAATAAAAAACACCAAATATCTAATTATGAATCCTCAGACATTTTGCAAACGCTTTTGGACTTTTCCTCATCCAACAGGAGTTTTCACAGACGGTTTATATAAATGGACACAGTTAACCCACTAACCGCTGCGTTCCAGACAGGAAGTGAGCATGGGCGCACTTCTGGCTCCACTCACTCTGGTTCCAGTTCATGTTCTATTGAAAAACCATCTCCCTTCTCTCTGTAACTGTAACTCAGGGCACTTTCACATCACCAAGTGGATTATTTGGTCCGTACCAGGCAGTAAAACAGTTCTTCTGTGTCAAAGACTCCGGTTTGGTCCTTTCACACCAAACAAATCAAACCTGGTCCCACTGACGTTTGTCCAAGGCAGAGTCCTGCACCGGGTCAGGAACCCAGGGGTAGTTGCTGAAATAGGCGGGTTTTAACGTTTTTTTTAACTGGAATTTTACGGGCGTATAGTGATCACACACAGGCAGGTCAGGACTAAACCAGGACTAATTTTGGACTTGAAAAAGAGAAGCCCAAGCGATGCACCTCCAGGCCCGTCCCAACAGTCAGTCCTGGTTCAGTTCTGGTTCAGTCCTGTTTTAGTCCTAGTTCAGTCCTGAGTTAGTCCTGGGATCAGTCTTCTGCCCAATAAATAAAGCCTGTGAAGTGATGTTGTATTTTTAACAGTCGAGTCGTGTCTGTGAATTCATGTTCGTACTGAAGAAAGTGTAATCGTAAATTTTCATTTGGTGATTGTAATTCTTGAAGTCGTAACTTTTCAGTTCATCTTCTGATGGATAAAATACACACAACACATTTTATGTACGACTGGACTCATTCCAAAGTTTACAAATATTTTATGCTCAACTCAACTATGACAAATATGCACATGAATATTTCTGAAAGCTTTTGTACTTCATCCTTTTGCCTCTTCAAACTGCCTCTTCAATCCTCATTTAGTGCCGTTGTTCGAATTGTTGTTCGAATGCTTTTAGTTTGTGTGTGATTTATCACAGGTGGGGAACAGGTGGAATGTTCACGGGTCCAGTCGGGTGTGGATTTAACTTTGATATAATCACGGGTTAATGGGCGGGTGTGGTGCTGGACTGTGCAGGTGCAGACAGGTGTGGGTCTCCAAAAATGGACCTGTGCAGGACTCTGACCCAAGGCTCCTGCACACAGCGGGTTCCACTGCACGAGGCTTTGGGACGCTGAGGCTCTCTCCAGCTGAGCGGCAGGTGTCCGATCACACCCCTTAACCTGGACCCGCCGGCCCGGTGGACACAGGTCGACCTGGTGGACCTGCCAGTATCAGATGTTCGTCTCAGATGAAGTGGTGCAGGTCTAAGTCCACACGGCTGCTTCAGGGAAACGATCAGTGCCTCATTAAATCAGTTCTTGTTCCTTTGGTTGCTCCACTGTTAGTTGGAGCACGTCTGGGTGTGGTTCAAGCTCCGCCCCTCGTCTTCTTCACTCACCACAAACAGGAAATGACATCATGAGTGTCCCCTCCCATGACGCATCTGGAACACTTGGTTTGGACCTGAGTTGGCGTCTCTTCAGAGGGACCAGAGTTTGGCATTTGGTATGAAGTCAAGCGACCGAGACCAGCTCTTTTCTGAGGTCTCGGCCCGTTTGATTTATAGATCTGAGTGCGACTGAAACGTTCACGCCAACGAAAAACAACAAAAACCAACCAACACCAATGAAAACCAATGAAAACCAACCAAACTAAGAGCTTCTGGATCCAGTGGAACATTTGGTGCAACAACTGCTGTCATTATGAAAGAACCCTCCTCATTTTTATCTCAAAATGTCCATCTGAACCTGCTCTTCATGATCCTGAGGGTATTTTTTTTCTCTATTTTGCCCCTAAATTAAGATCTGAACATTAATCTCAGACCAATCAGACGCCTTCTTTCCCTGATTGGCTCTTCGGTTGCCGTGACGCTCCAGATTCTCCGTCGTACCCGCTGGCCCCGATGAGCTTCATTTGGAGCTGACCGCTGCGGTGACGTCGCGCTCGCTCAGGTCACTTCTTCTTCTCTCACTCTGAGGAGCTCGCGCACGATTCACGATTCTTCCCCCAAACGTGGATTCGCGAGTCGCCTCTTCGCCTCGGCCGTAAAAATCCTTTCTGCTCCCAATAAAATAATTAGCTGACAAATCAAAACTGCCACATCAACGACACCGACGCCGCTGATCCATCGACGAAATGACGAAAAGCTTTCAGCCCAGTGCAATACAAATGAACACACACACAACAACACACACAACAACACACACACAACACACACAACACACACACACAACACACAACACACACACACACAACAACACACACACAACAACACACACAACAACACAAATAAATATGGAGTTTTTCCCTTTTAAAATAAACGCTAACTCTGCAGCTCAGTCTAGTTTTCTATGTGTGTGTGTGTGTGTGTGTGTGCGTCTGTGTGTGTGTGTGTGTGTGTGTGTGTGTGCGTCTGTGTGTGTGTGTGTGTGCGTACCGTCCATCCGGCAGGGCAGGAGCAGTCCCCGGTGATGTGGTGGCAGGTGCCTCCGTTCTGACAGGGGCAGCGGCGTTCACACTGAGGCCCGTGACTCCCAGACGGACAACGCTCTCCACAACTGTTACACAAAAACACACAACACACAAAAACACACAACTGTCACACAAAACACACAACTGTTACACAAAACACACAACTGTTACACACACAAAACACACAACTGTTACACACAAAAACACACAACTGTTACACAAAACACACAAAACACACAACTGTCACACAAAACACACACAACTGTTACACAACACACAAAACACACAACTGTCACACAAAACACACAACTGTTACACAAAACACACAACTGTTACACAAAAACACACACACACAACTGCACACAACTGTTACACAAAAACACACAACTGTCACACAAAACACACAACTGTTACACAAAACACACAACTGTTACACAAAACACACAACTGTTACACACACACAACACACACACAGACACACACACACACACACACATGGAGCAGGTACATTTCATCATCAGCGCTCAGACCCACAAACACAAATGAGTGGAATCAATTTTGAGTCAAATCCTTCAAAGACTTTTAAAACATCAAGCAAAAAAAAAAAATAAAATAATAATAATAATAATAATAATAAAATAAAATACATAAGATTGCAGTCAAATTGTGTAAAATCTTTGTCTCTTTCGTTTTTGTTCCGTGTCTTTTTCTGTTTTGTTTGGTGTCGTTTTCTTTGGTTCTGATTTTCTCGTTGGACTTTTTGGTTCAGTTTTGGCCCAGGTGTGACAGGTGTGACAGGTGTGACAGGTGTGACAGGTGTGACAGGTGTGACAGGTGTGACAGGTGTGACAGGTGTGACAGGTGTGACAGGTGTGACAGGTGTGACAGGTGTGACAGGTGTGACAGGTGTGACAGGTGTGACAGGTGTGACAGGTGTGACAGGATGTGACAGGTGTGACAGGTGTGACAGGTGTGACAGGTGTGTGTGACAGGTGGGCGGGATTTACATGGTCCCTTCCCATTGGCTCGATTATGTTTGACGGACAGCTGAGTCTGGAGCTCCTGAAGCTGTTGTGGGCTTTTTTCTGGTGAAGTTTTGGCAACTGAATTTAATTCAATTCAGTTCAAGTTTATTTATACAGCACATTTAAAAATAACTTCAGTAAAACACCAAGATAATGTGACTGGCTTGTATTAAATGTATTAAATGTCTTAAACTTAACTTAAGTCTTAAACTCCGTTACAGACCGAAAAGTTCACACAACAAGTTTGTCCAGAACTTCCACTGTGTAGAATCACGTTGTTCCAGAAGAATCGTCCACACTGAAAATGAGAAAAACTCTGAGCACCAAAACTTCAGCAGGAAACGTCCACAAGAACTTCAGGAGCTCCAGACTCAGCTGTCCGTCAAATATAAATGAACCAATGGGAATGAACCCCTGGAAACTCTGCCCACCTGTCACACCTGTCACACCTGTCACACCTGTCACACCTGTCACACCTGTCACACCTGACACCTGACTGTCAACCTGTCACACCTGTCACACCTGTGGCACCTGTCACACCTGTGACCTGTCACACCTGTCACACCTGTGACACCTGTCACACCTGTCACACCTGTCACACCTGTCACACCACCTGTCACACCTGTCACACCTGTCACCTGTCACCTGTCACACCTGTCACACCTGTCACACCTGTCACACCTGTCACACCTGGGCCAAAACTGAACCAAAAAGTCCAATGAGAAGAATCAGAACCAAAAGAAAACAACACCAGACAAAACTAAGACACTGAAAAAAAACTAAATATTTCTAAAGAGGCAAAGGCATTTAACATGATTACACAAATAATTTAATGGCAAATGTATTTATTTTACTTTTTTTGTTAGATTTTTATTTTTTAAATTTGGTATTTTGACTTTTTTGTTTGATATTTTAAAGGCGTTGTTGAATTCTTTGGGTTTGTGTGTTAAATGTGTGAATGAAACCAAACACACCTCCAGCTCTGTGTGTGTGTATGTGTGTGTGTGTGTCTGTGTGTGTGTATGTGTCTGTGTGTGTGTCTGTGTGTGTGTGTGTGTGTGTATGTGTCTGTGTGTGTGTGTGTGTGTGTATGTGTCTGTGTGTGTGTGTGTGTGTGTGTGTGTATGTGTCTGTGTGTGTGTATGTGTCTGTGTGTGTGTGTGTGTGTGTCTGTGTGTGTGTGTGTGTGTATGTGTCTGTGTCTGTGTGTGTGTGTGTGTGTCTGTGTGTGTGTATGTGTCTGTGTGTGTATGTGTCTGTGTGTGTCGGTGTGTGTATGTGTCTGTGTGTGTGTGACGGTTGAACGACACTAGATCAGACATTAGTGTGATCTGACCCTTTACACCAGGCATGTCCAAACTACGGCCCGTGGGCCAAATCCGGCCCCCAGACAAATTTTTCTTGGCCCTCAGGCTTCCAGGTGAATTGGCCCAAATCAATTAAAAATGAATTTTTTACTGCAAGTTTTTTGAAAATCTACCTTGATAAAGCTAAATATTAAATATTAGTGTTTGGTTTTAAGGATTTTAGCGTGAATAAAGACTGAGGTTCTAACGTGTTAAACCTGCACAGATTTGAATAATTCCCTGTACTGAGCTCCAGTCTGTGGCCCACGATCAGCCTCTGCTTTGTCTGTGTTTAGAGATGTGGCCCTTGATGAAAAAAGTTTGGACACCCCTGGTTTACACAGACGGGGCGAGTACTCACAAAGCGCCCGTGTAGCCCGGCGTGCACAGGCACTCGCCCGTCTCGTGGTCGCAGGTGGCTCCGTTCAGACACTGGCAGATGAGCTGGCAGCCTTTGCCGTAGTAGCCGTGCTCGCACTGCTCCTCGCAGCGCCAGCCCTGGTAGCCGTCGATGCAGGTGCAGGCTCCGGTGATGGGGTTACAGCGCCCCCTGTTGTGGCACTGGCAGCGGTTGGTGCAGTGCGGTCCCCAGAAGTCCGCCTCGCACCCTGCGGGTCACACACACGTCGAGGTCACAGACAAATGGGACTTAACCTTGAAAACATCTGAAATCATTTGTCAGGTGAAAGGAGCAGAGCGGATCATTAACGGTACACGCCCACACACACAAATGAATCCTGCACAAACATTATTCACCAGAGGCTGAAGTGTCGCTCACGTCACGCCTCATAATCACCGAGAAGTTCACGAAGGGCACGGCACAAGTTTACACTCACACGGTGTTACGACAAAACACTCAGAGACTCAAATCCCAACGTAAAACCAGTGAGAGAATCAGGAATCTGAAAAAACAGATTTAAAAATCCTCCCACTTTTGAAGCAGTTTTCTGTAAAGTATCGGTGGGATTAAAGAAGAGCTTCTCAAACTGTGGGCGAGGGTCCAGAAAACATGCACAGAGTGTTTCAGTGCAGAACAGTTTGTTTGGCTTATTTTAGATTTATAAAAACACTGATATAAATGTGCCAAAATAACTTAAAAATACAAATAAATGTCAAAGAAGGTCTCGATGGGTCGTGGTCTCAGTCTTGTGTCAGTCTTGGTCTTCTCTTGGTCTCGACCTTTAAAAGTCCTGGCCTTGTCTCGGTCTTGTCTCGGTCTCGACCCTTAAAAGTGTCGGTCTTGTCTCGGTCTTATCTCGGTCTTGTCTTGGTCTCGACCTTTAAAAGTCCTGGTCTTGTCTCGGTCTTGTCTCGGTCTCGACCTTTAAAAGTCCCGGTCTTGTCTCGGTCTTATCTCGGTCTTGTCTTGGTCTCGACCTTTAAAAGTCCTGGTCTTGTCTCGGTCTTATCTCGGTCTTGTCTTGGTCTTGTCTTGGTCTCGACCTTTAAAAGTCCTGGTCTTGTCTCGGTCTTATCTCGGTCTTGTCTTGGTCTTGTCTTGGTCTTGTCTTGGTCTCGACCTTTAAAAGTCCTGGTCTTGTCTCGGTCTTGTCTCGGTCTTGTCTTGGTCTTGTCTTGGTCTTGTCTTGGTCTCGACCTTTAAAAGTCCTGGTCTTGTCTCGGTCTTGTCCTGGTCTTGTCTTGGTCTTGTTTTGGTCTTGTCTTGGTCTCGACCTTTAAAAGTCCTGGTCTTGTCTCGGTCTTATCTCGGTCTTGTCTTGGTCTTGTCTTGGTCTTGTCTCGGTCTCGACCTATAAAAGTCTCGGTCTTGTCTCGGTCTCGGGACTCTGTGGTCTGGTCTTGGTCTCGATTAGTTCGGTCTTGACTACAACACAAAACACTGAGACTTACGCAGGAATTCTGTACTTCAGTTTAAACACAAAGGTCAGAACCAACGAATAAACAACGAGGCCAGGGACAAACTGCACGAGTATTTCACCAACACGAGCCTAAAAACTGCACAAATATAATCCCACCAATTTTTTACCAGAGCGTAAGCGCGAGTCCCCGTCAGAACCCAGAGAGCAGCTGTTTGTATTTGTGCGTTTACATCAGCACAGTTTGTTCCGGGGGCAGTTCTGTGTCGTCTGAAGGAGCTCAGGTTCAGAAACACTGTTCATTATGTTCATTTGTGCTAATTTACTTTATAAATCCAGGTGTTTGCCGTGATCAGCCTGTGCGACGGAAGCCCAGAGGGGTCACAACGAACGCAAGACGCCGCCGCAAACGAATACAAATACGACAACACAACAAAAAGCCACAACAAACCAAAAAAAGCCACAACGGAAAGTGACCGCGGGACTCTATTATAATGCAAACACAAAAAGCCACAACACATCAACACACAAAAACAAAACATTAAAAAGCCACAACACATAAAAAAGCAACACAAAAAACACACATTAAAAAGCACAAACACAACACATTAAAAAGCCACAACACATTAAAAAGCCACAACACGTTAAAAAGCCACAACGGAAGTGACCGCGGGACTCTATTTTCCGACGGACCGATCAAGCGGCAAGTGAAGAAGAAGAACTACAACGTGAAAAGTAAAGGAACGGAGAAGTTGGAAACGTAAGAAAAAGTAATTTATTGTTTTATCATTATTCGTTTCACGTTGTAGTTCTTCTTCTTCACTTGCTGCTTGATCGGTCCATCGGAAAATAGAGTCCCACGGTCACTTCCGTTGCGGCTTTTTAACGTGTTGCGGCTTTTTAACGTGTTGCGGCTTTTTTAACGTGTTGGCTTTTTTTTTTTAACGTGTTGTGGCTTTTTTTGTGGCTTTTTAATGGCTGTTGTGGCTTTTATTTGTTGTGTTTTTTACGTGTTGTGCTTTTGTGTTGTGGCTTTTTATGTGTTGTGGCTTTTATGTGTTGTGGCTTTTTTAATGTGTTGTGGCTTTTTGTGTTGTGCTTTTTAATTGTGTTGTGGCTTTTGCGTTTGTGTTGTGGCTTTTTAATGTGTTGTGGCTTTTGTGTTGTGGCTTTTAACATGTTGTGGCTTTTTGATGTGTTGTGGCTTTTTAATTTGTTGTGGCTTTTTAATTTGTTACGGCTTTTGCGTTTGTGTTGTGGTGTTTGTATTTGTTGTGGTGTTTGCATTAAAATAGAGTCCCGCGGTCATTTCCGTTGTGGCTTTTTTTTTTTTGGTGTTTTGTTTTTTTCGTTGTTTGTCGCAGATGTCCCCCCGGAGCCACAGACGTCCCGCTGGAGTGGGCGTGTCCTCGCGTTGTGGCCCGGCTGTGTTTTTTTTCGTGAGGTTCCGTTCGTAAACTCTGCCGTGTGTTTGGGCCTGAGCCTCGTGAAAGTGCAGAGAAAACGCTGCTGCTTCATACAACTTTTTCTCTGTACATTGTGATATTTTCCCACACAGTATATTTTAGATTTATTAAAGTTTCTGTGGGAGTCGCCGTGACAAACATCACATGACCTCAGAGAAAATCAAACCCTCGCACGTCTCCGCGGACAATCGAGGTCAAAGGTCACGCAAACATGACATACAAAGAGCGTGCATGAGCGAGCACAAGAACATGGACGAGAGAGATGAATTCACCGCACACACAAACACAAACGCACACACACACAAACGCACAAACAGAAGGACACAGACGGATGAAGGATGAAGTCGGCTCTTTTCGACACGTCACATTCACACTGACTCGACTCGACAAACGGATTATTTTACTCCGAACTCATTCACCTGCAGAAAACTCTTTAAACTTCACTCTCATGATTCTAGAAGCACCAAAACACTTTCACACGTCGCTCTGGGGGGGTTCTACATGTAGATTTAATTGTAGAATGTTCAGCAGTTACCACGGAGACACAATTCACACAATTGCAAACTCAAGAAAAACTCCCCAAGTGATTTAAAGACACAGTTTCATGTTTCTGCGGTCAGAGCGTTCATGGTTTTGTTCAGGAGTTTGATTTGATGATTTGACGCTGCGTTCTCTTTGGCTCGGGACTCGGGGAAAACTGTGTCCAGTCTGGTGCCCCCTAGTGTCTCCGCTCAGTTTCCTTTCTCTCCAGCTCCAGGTCAGGAGTCAGAAAACACTCGACGATTTGAAGAACCTCAGAAGTTGTAGACGTCGCACCAGCCAATCATCCGTGAGCTGTGAGGTCATGACGTGGTCGTGGTGGTTTGTCTGTGTCACTTTTGTGTTTCAGTACAACAGTAAACAAAGCGTCGAGATGGACGTAGACGAAGACAAACATTCCCCAGATTCACGAGGATTTAAAGTCTGGACAAAGAGAATGAATTTGATCTCGGGGAAAGACGTTATTGTTCTTCTTCCTACAGGATTTGGAGCTTTACAAACGTCACGACCAAACAGCAACGACTGGTTCAATAAAAAAAAAAGTCCCCGTCTACTGTCGAGTGAACGAATCCTAATGCTGCAGGTCACACGGTTTCCACCAAGTGAAACCAGCTCAGGAATCAGACTTGGAGTTTACATGAACATAATAATTTTGAATTGAGGTTCACATGTTAAATTTGTTAAATCATCTGTCACTTTCATTTTTCATTTTTAGTCATGTATTTATTTTGAGCAGATTAACAAACACAAACAGAATATTAAACCTGCGTCCAGCACGATTACTCCACATGTTTTATTTAAGCTCCAAAAGAAGTGAAAACAAAAAATCCGGTTTGTGTCTTCCATTGGAACATAACTAAAATACTGTGTTTATACTGTGCTCTGTTTCTTTTTCAGTTAAACAAAAAATATAAAAATGAATTCTCTTCATTGTAAAACCGTGTCAAAAGTCAGTGAGAGTAAATGAGACGCACAGTTTTACTCTGACTCTACGTGAGGCACAAGTGAAACCGACTCATGAATCAGTGCAGGAAAACCGACCTCCACCTGGAGAAAAGTACAATGGAACGGCCAATCAGATCAGAGTTCTGAAACACAAACTGGGGCGAGTTTGGTGCAGATTGAGTCGGTTGAATTTACGTCACAGTTAAAATGTCGGCGCCACAGTGAACAAGGAGAATCATCTTTTGGTCGTGTTGATGTGTTCAGTTTGTGTAGAGAAAGTGTCTCTCAAACCTTTGTACTGATATTTAGATTTTCTTTCACATCATTTAACAGTAACACAAGTTTTTTTATATTTCTGAACATGTAAAAGTCAAACTGACAGAAGTGAGTGGCCGACAGCTAACATTAGCTTACAGACTCTGATGTTATATTAAACTTTGCTCTATATTTTCCCGACTGTTGAAACAATTTAAAACAGATATCAGGAGAACTGACTCGGATTTATCAAATACCAACATCCAACAGAACGTGACATAAAAGGTGAGAGTGACTCACGGGAAAACTGTTGGCTAATGCTAATGCTAATGCTAATGCTAGCTCGTGACTGTAACGTGATTTAGAGGGACGTGTTTAAAAGCTCAGATCAGCTGAACTGTTGGAGCTCTTTATGTTTAGATTGTGTTAAAGTAAAACTCAGATGAAAGTCTAACAAAGCCTCAGACAGAGCAGTGCCTACAGTTAGCATCACACCCCCAGAGAATCAGCTGAAAAGTATAAAAACTACACATATGTGAATCTGTCTCTTATTATTTCTTATTAGTTCCTGCATTAATTTCATAC